AAAAATAAAACGAATGGAGTTTTACGTCCTACTTTCTGCATCATGTGGACTAATGAAGACTGACAACACCATGCAGGGTTAGGGTTAAATAAATAACCCTGTTTGAGATAATGAAGATAAGCAACACCATGCAGGGTGCAATGATGGAAAGTTTACCAGGACAGTGGCACTAGCCTACTCTTTTTCGATTTCCAACTCTCGGGGAATCTTTAACGTAGAGAGCTGAAATAAGGGAACTGCTAAAATCCGTGAGTTGTTTTAATTTCACCCCCTCCCCTCCCCGTTTCTCTACAGCCCGACCACTGTGAATACACCCTTCACGGTTAATGACGTCATCAAACACTTAGTTTTAGTGGAATTGCAGGAACCACAGACATCTGATTGAAAATTAGAATGATGTAAATTGATGTTATCAGTGTCTCTGATACACATAAAAAATTTAGAAAACATCTTTACAATCTCTTTAACAAGAACCACAGACATCTGATTGAAAATTAGAATGATGTAAATTGATGCTATCAGTGTCTCTGATACACATAAACAATATAGAAAACCTCTTTACAATCTCTTTAACAAATGTTTAATGTATATTTTCCTTGGCGTTTATCAGTTTTAACATAATGACCCAAATACGGTGGATTTTAGTGTTTAATTCTCGTCTCGTGCACGTGTAAACTACTAGTTGACCTATAAAAAACATGCACAAGTTTTCAGGTTCCAGAAGATCCCAGAAGTGAAGCCCGTCCCTATAAAATTTAAGGTAGGTCTTGATCTCACTGTCTGGTTTCAAGTATCTGCTTTTCATCCTCAGCAATGTTCTTTATTCTTAGCACCTAATCATTATGGCCCCCATAATGCACCCCCTCCCCCACTCCCTCTACCCCAAAATGTTAATTCTATTCTTCTTCAAATCTCCTACGATGAAAAGTCTTCATCAACAACTAGGACAAATTTTCAAGTCCAATTCTCACTTTTCAGTTTTTCAGAATTCCATTTTCTCCACCCAAAGAATAAGTTTGTCATTCTTCAATTCTACGGTGCAGACTAGGACGTAAAACTCCATTCATTTAATTTAATTCAATTCTATGGTGATTCTGTTTTATATTCAACAATCTAACAACAGTTCTTCAACAATCCGTTTTCCTGTCTAATATAACCGCTGCCAACAGATTTCATTTAGAGAGCTTAATTTTCGCATCAAATACACCACTGAAGACTAACCATGATTATTTCATCAACGGTGATATTCGTATCGGTTAACTATTAAGAATTAAACACTAGAAACCACCAGTAGCGTGACCATTTTCAATTCTTATTCACACTAGATACATATAATTAACAATAAAACATTCCAAAACATACCCCCCCCCCTCGCCCCCCCCGCTCCCAGTAGTCCGTCTGTCAATCAGTATTCTAATACTGGTTACAGGTGGGCGTGTGTTTAAGGTGCACATCCGGTCTCACAGACCCTAAGCATCCCTTCGCACCCCTTTCTGTCCGTCCAATATATTTTTTTGCTGTGTGTGGGGTTTTATAGGCGGCCTCTGTTAAAATAGCTATCAGAGGCCACAAAAAGAGGCCGATGTTTCTGACTATGATTTACTGAGAGTCCAAATCCAAGTTTTACACTCTATTTTTACATTGTAGTCATGTGACTAATCACGTGATGTGTTAGTCAAAATGTCGAAATAAATTTATGACGAAGTTAACAAAATAACAACATTTCCACGTCTTTTGTGTAATTATAGGAAATTTGGTCAGTTGATTTTGTTTTGAGAAGTATTAAGGTATGTCCAGGTACCCGAAGAATTCTAATCCTTTCGAGGATGACGACGAAATTGATGACTTTACGTTTGTCAACAAACCCAACTCGTCAGCAGGCAGTGGAAAAACTGGCTATGGCAGACGTGAAGAGGATTATGGAAGTCGACAAAGACAGTTGTGGGATGAGGCCAGCGCTTCTGAAGATCGTCAGATGGATAGTACAAGACGAGCTCTTGCTAGTATTCACCAATCTGAAGAGATAGGAATTGCTACAGCTGAAGAACTTGTCAGACAAGGAGAAGTTTTGGACAATATTGAAACTAAAACGGGTGGAATCAACCAGAATCTCAAATCAACTCAGAAACATTTAAACTCTATTAAAAGTGTTTTTGGTGGTTTTAAAAATTGGTGGAATGGAACAGACAGTACTGGACCTAAAGAACCTGTCGAGTCCACACGGAAATTGAAACAGACAGTGGAACGAGAGAAAGAGTACACAGCTCAATCCAGTTCCTTGACTGGCTCTAAACTACGGAGTGGAGATGTCAGTGGTTTCTATGACACAGAAAATGATCTAGACTCTAAATTTCTGGCCGGTTCTCGTCATGGAAACGAAAGAATGTTTGAACCTGTTACTAATAGTGCAAGAGAACAAGAAATTGATGAGAATTTAGGGTTGATGTCGTCTGGTATGGCCAGATTAAAAGTATTAGCGATGGATATGGGAGGGGAGATAGACTCTCAGAATGAACAGTTAGATCGTATTGACAGGAAAGTTGTAATAGCTGATTCGAACATTCAAAATCAAAATAAACAGATGAGAAAAATTCTGAAATAATGTGAAAAATGAAAAGTGTTACAGGTGTCTAATCAGTGTTATTAACTTAGAGCAGTGTTTCACTTTGGTATACACTAACTCAGAAACAGAGATTTTTTAGCTAAGTTAATCAATAATAGTGTTCACAACTCACTGTCGAAATTTGAACCTTCAAATCCAATGTTGTCCAGAATTATCCGCATTTGAAAGTTAAAATGACGACTCGTCTTTTCTTGAGACACTGTGATATATAGAAAATACATCTATAGAAATAGAAAGTAAAATTCCTAGTTTGAGGTGTATTTCAAATGGCGCACTTGTCCCTTGCTTTAAGCCTTCAAATCCACGTGTGTCCAGAATTATCTACGTTTGAAAGTTAAAAAGACAACTTGTCTTTTCTTTACACTCTACTATATATATAGAAATGTATTATCTAATCAGTGTTATAGGCTTAGAGCAGTGTGTCTAGTTTTTTAATTTCCTACATACTTTCTGATGTTTTACCTTGCAATTCAACTAAAACAGGTTATTTAAAATCAAAATGTGATTTAGTGAATTAAACAGTTGAATATTAAAGATGATAAAAGTAATATCTTTCAGTGTTCTGCAGTGATTTATCGTGTTACGGTGGGGGATTATCTGTACAGTAGAAAATAGAAGTGAATCCTGCCCATATCATGTTCCAACCCTTGCGCACACCTTCTAGTTATTTGAATATAAAACTGTCTCTAGACTCTAGAGTATAATTTATTGATGTATAATTATATTTTATCTCTATGTGTCTGTGTCATCTATTAAATTTTTTTTTGTATTTTTGGGGATTTTGTTTTTGTCAACCCACTTTCCCCCTGTCATATATTGACCCACTTTCCCCCTGTCATATATTGACCCACTTTCCCCCTGTCATATATTGACCCACTTTCCCCCTTGTCATATATTGACCCACTTTCCCCCTTGTCATATATTGACCCACTTTCCCCCTGTCATATATTGACCCACTTTCCCCCTGTCATATATTGACCCACTTTCCCCCTGTCATATATTGACCCACTTTCCCCCTGTCATATATTGACCCACTTTCCCCCTGTCATATATTGACCCACTTTCCCCCTGTCATATATTGACCCACTTTCCCCCTGTCATATATTGACCCACTTTCCCCCTGTCATATATTGACCCACTTTCCCCCTGTCATATATTGACCCACTTTCCCCCTGTCATATATTGACCCACTTTCCCCCTGTCATATATTGACCCACTTTCCCCCTGTCATATATTGACCCACTTTCCCCCTGTCATATATTGACCCACTTTCCCCCTGTCATATATTGACCCACTTTCCCCCTGTCATATATTGACCCACTTTCCCCCTGTCATATATTGACCCACTTTCCCCCTGTCATATATTGACCCACTTTCCCCCTGTTATATATTGACCCACTTTCCCCCTGTTAGTGATGTAGGTAAGAGAGGCTGACATTGAAATAGTGTCTAGTTGTTCAGATTGGACAATAAACCGAGGTCCTGTGTGCTACAGACTGTGCACATTAAAGATCCCTCGACAGTTGGAAATTGAAAGAGAGTAGGCTAATACTGCTGTCCTGGTAAAATTTCCCACATTGCACACTGCATGGTATTGTCTGTCTTCATTAGCTCAATTAGATGCATAAAAGTATAAAGGCAATGTGCTGATACAGAACGTATAATTTTCCATCCCCAATGGGTTGAAGACTCACATTTCTAATTAACATTATTGGTGTGTAAACACAATTGATCACATGACAAACTGAATAAATGACGAAGTCAATTGTGTTTACACACCAATAATGTTAGTGAGACCAACGTTTAATTCTTATATTTATATTCAGATATTTTTATTAATACAATTTTCACTGTTTTATATGATCAGTTATTTGAATTTACCACAAATCTTAGATTACGTCATTGTTGTGTTTTGATGATGTCATAGTATCACGTGATAAACTACAGTTTATAGAAAAATAAACACCAGTTTGTGTAACTGGTTCATTGAAGAGAGTGATAATAGAAATATAAATATAATAAAATAGTTTATAATGGAAAAAGTAATATAACTTTATTTTTCTATAAAACAAGT